TCACAAATTGATATTTCTACTACAGATAATACAAACTGGTTTCTAGTTCAATATACAGATTTTGAAATTCCTGAGGAATGGCCATAACACTCCTCTGCCTCTAGCAGTTCCTATTGTAGTAATATGCACTCAATATTAATGAGTCCTCAAATGGGATCTGTTTTTTATAATGGTATGACTCTTGCTGTGAAACAGTGCATTATTAGTTCTACCAGACACCATCATTAAAAAGAAACAGCAATCTATGTCTACTGGTGTTTTTTGTTCCTGCTTGAAAAAAGGGTGAGTGTTCAAGGGGAACCTGAGAAAAAGAGAAGAAGAAAGAACAGTATCCATTTCCACCCAGAGGTAGCATATGGGAAGGGTGAATGTTCAGTAACAATTTAAGTGCCCATGATTCAACCCCTATATTGATGTAGGAGGAGCTTACAGTGGTTTAGGCCATTCTTTCCTTTTCTTTCTTGAGATGTTAAGGCAATAGGAGTACATCAACATCCACCACTGTTTTGTTTCCTTTGTCCTCTTTCTCCTGGATTAATGGTTTTTGCACACAAAGCATCTGTTCTACTACTGAAATATGGCCCAGTACCAACTATCTAGAAAATATTTGAAGATTATTTGATGTCATGGCAGAGCATCTGATGTAGGGTGTGGGAACAAATTATTCAACTCAAATTCTTGTATTTAGAATTCTTATATATGGGATAGTTGCCTTGATGTATTAATATCAAAACTTGTGGAAGAAATACCTTCTCTTCACCGCCTTATTGTTTGACTTTAGCAGATTCAGAAAACCATTCAGTCTATTGATACATTTATTGCAGTGATGCATAACATATGTGGAGGGGAGGGAGAGTGACAAAGATGGATCTATCTTTTGTAATTTCCCATTCAAAGGAAATCCACAGTAGAGGTATTGGTTATACAGAACTCTTAATGGAGAATATTTACTAGACTTCATCTTGTATAGGTTTATATCAGTATTTTTAGGGAAGATGCATGATCCTCATACCATTTATAAAGTTTCTGAAGCCTGTGCTATGAGCAGCTGTTTTCAAAAAACCAAATATGTGAGGAGCACAATGTAGGTTAGTTTTCAGCGCACATAGGAAAATAAGACTTTGGGGAGGTTCTTTCTTCCTTTCTGCTTTTTACTCTTCTCATCACTATCCTGAAAATATGTGTCTCACTGGTCACATGCTCCCTCTTCTGCTTACATGTTCTTTGGTCTCAGAAACCAAAATATTTTAATGTCAGCTTTTTAAACATGGCCTTTTCAGAAAATTGTTACAGCATGAACTGGACTTAATGGGAGAGAAAGCATTTTCCCTTCAAAAGATTGAAATAATTTTAATGAAAAGAAATGGGAAAAGCCAACCAAATTCACCTCCTCAAAGAAACTTTTAGAGTGACAGCTGTAGGTCTTCTTTAATTAGAGTGGAAGGAGACATCTTTCTCAGCAGGAAGCCTTGATGAGAATCAGAAGGCCACTTCCTGCTGAGCTTAGAAATGATTTTTTTCCCTCTGGTGGCAAATGTAGACTCAGCATATTCTTTGGCCTACCAGAATTTATAAAAGGCTATGTTTAAAAAG